TTCTGCTCCCCACCATTCCACTCTCAAGCTCCAGGTGTGGGCCACACCCCTCTGAGACACACATGGTGGCCGAGGGACGAGTTGTCATTGCTGAGCTGTCCTCTCCCTTCCACCCCGGGTCACTCAGCAGATTGGTTTTTCCCCTTCTTAGATCATTGCCCAAAGAGTTCAATCCACATGTAAAGTGGGCACTCAAGAGAACTTGGGCTCCCCAAATCCGCTTATATCAGCTTCAAAATTGGACTTTTAGTAGCATTGCATTTCATTAATGATGATGCTACCATGATTCACTCTTTTAATTGGCATTTCACTTAGTCACTGATGGGTCTATTACCTAGAACCTCCAAACTGGGTAAGCTGGTTCTGTTTCAGACAGAATTGGGCTTATTTATTCCTTCTTGGTCTAGAAATCATGCTTATATGTGCCAGTTGATTATCATTATATGTGCATTTTATATCACAGAGCATGGAAGTTTGGGGGAAAGAATTTTTTTTAGCATTGCAGAGTATTCAGGACAGTTTAAACAAACTTAATTAAAAGTCTAATTTTTTTTCCCCAGGCATAAATTGTCTGCTGACATAGCCAGGCCAGTCTCCCCACATGGAAATTCTCCCACAGCTATTAAACCTCACATTTACTGGCCTGTGCCACCTAACCTTGGGAATGGCCAGTCACTGCCCTTTATCACTCTACAGGTGCACTGACTGCTAAAGCAACCACTAAGTTTTTCAGATTTCCAGATTCTTCCCTCCTCGATGTTTTCTGCTAAAGAGTAAAAAATGTGTAAACGCTTAATTTTATTTAGTTCTTGAATAAAGAACTAGAAAGGAAATCATTGTAGCCACATGTCCTTTGTGTATGTGGAAAACCTCCACATTAAAGCTGTGTCTAAAAACACTTAAAAATGTCCTCAAATTCATTTCTGAGTAGCTTCCTTATGCAGTTCAGAAATTAGTTTCAACACTTACCATTATCATGTCTCCAAATGGTATGCCTCTTTCAAGTGTCAGGCTCACATTCCATAAAGCCCTCTTCTTTGGGCAAGATGAGCGTCTTTTGAAACTTGAGCAATGATGTAACTTTTGAGCTATGGTCTGAGATACTGGGTTATTTCCCTCTTCCCTTCATCGGAGATAGTCTTGGGAACACCTGAGTGCCTGAAGGCAGTGTCCCTGGCTTCTCAGTTACACAGGGGAAGCCTTCAAGGTAATGTTCTCTCACTCTTCTCAGGTTCTTCTCAGAAAAGTTCAGAAGGCTCGTCCTATCACATGAGCAGTAGCAGCTCACAGGTGTGTGTGTGTGTGTGCAAAAATCTGAGAGACGGAGAGAGAATACATGCTGGCTCACTTTAGAATGGAATCATTATTTTGTTGGTTATTGAGGGGGGTTCTGCAGCCTCCTTTCCTCCTACCTATTGAGAAACGTCTTTACCTGTATCTTTTTTCTTTCTACTTTGACCTTGTTTTCTCCCTCCTTCCAACTGTATTTTCTCTGATCTTTTCTTCCAGCTCTCCAAGTTAGACCTAACTTAGATCTAAACTCTTCTTATTTCTCAGATAACTCCAAGAGCTTTACACATGCCCTGTACCCCCCTTTCCTCAGGGACCTCACCAACGACTCTTTCCCAGATCTTTCCTCTACCTCACGAGTGACATGGTTTCTGTTTCCATTGAATCTTTGTTTTCTGTTTTTTTGTTTTGTTTTGCTGATAGAACTGTGGAACATCTCTTTATAAGAGCTCAAATAAAATTTTACTTTTAATTATTTGTTAAATCAAAGTTGGTTCTGATCATTAATAGGCCCAAGTGAAGTCATTGAGCAAAAGTGACCAGAGTCCAACAGTAGGCACCTGTAGAAGCCACCTTGCACCCAGGCACACACATAGAGGAACTTTTTAAAAGTGCGCTCCCAGGAAATAAGGACAAGACAGAAGCCAGACCCACCCTACTGCATGGCTGGTACATACATTCACTAAAGGTAGAGCTTTAACCTACAGTCACTTCATCCTTCACTTTACACCTGTGAGGATTGCCCATGTGCACCTCTGCTCACCCCTGTCTTCTTCTTAGGCAAGCTAGAAAAGGAAAGCTGCCCTTGAAAATTGCTCTCTTCCTCACATATTCTAGTTGATATATTTATAAATATACTTTGAAATCGCTTTCAAACCATGTGGCTTTCTACTTTGTATAAGCTTAGGCTCATTAAAGTCATTAGTTTATTAAAACTCAACTCAGAAGTTTAATACCAAAGCTAAAATGGAAATTTGGTCTGTCCATTAATGTGCTGAATGTCCCATTAGCTAACTAGTAATCATATTGAGGCGCCAGCGAGCTAAGAGCTTGGTTTCATCCCTAGTTGGAGGTCAAAGAGCTTTGTGCAGCCTTCTCAGTCTTCCATGCTACCTTCCATGGACCACAGCTTGTGTCCCAGTCAGATTGCCCTGAGCAGCACACAGGCTTCCTTCTTTTGTGCCTTGAGTGCTTTCTGACCTTCGTTAGCAAAGAGACCCATCAAGATGGAAAACAGCAGCAGCAAAGTAAGCAGAGTGTGCAGTGTGGTAGTGAATGCAGGTGCGTCCTGTCTCAACTTCTCAAAGCTCCAAGTCAGAGAAAATGCAGGCAGAAGTGTGTCTGCAACACGGAACATACAGCATCTCCTGATCGCTTCCCGTTGGCTGAGGGAGGATATCAAGTGCGCTCCGGACAGCAACCTGTGTTCTTCCATGGAGACGGAGAGCCTCTGCCTGAAAGTTGCCTTATCTGTGGCTTTGGAGGTGGCTCTCAGTCCTTCATCAGAGTTCCAGAGCAGCCCCTGTTCTCCTTGCTTAGGGAACTTGAAATGAGTATTTCTTTGCAGATAAGTTAAACAGCTGGGAATATACAGAATTTTTATTAGGTTGATTAGGTTGTGTGTTTTTTTTTTTTAATCGAATGCTCTATCAGGGTAAGTGTGGCATCCAGAACTGAGGGTCATCCTATTAGGTGCCCTGATTAAATTGTTTCCCTATCAATCTATAAAGGAAAATAAGCAGAAACTTTTTCTGACTTTTTAACAAGTCCAACCTTCCTATTGCTATTTCTAACTTTCAATATTTATCCAGATTAATTGTAATGCTTGCCTTACTGCTCCTTTTGTGGGCTAATGTTTAAATGAAAACTTTCTCTACTGTCTATTAATAAAATGTCTTGGGTGACTTCCAAGATGCCTCTACCATATTAAATCCCATGCTATCAATATTTTGACAGTTTTAGAGTGAATTTTGTATGAGTTAAATGGAAAGGCATTGGAAATAGAGGATAGGTTTTGAAAATGCAAGTCATTAATAAAATATTTGAGATGATGGTCAAATTAGGAATAAATTCATTTCATTCACCAAACTTTTAGATTAAGGATGAATCTCTTGAGTATAGAATTTCAGGAAGCACATTTGGGTGTAAGATTATATACAACAGTATTGAGTTAGGGGTCTTCTTTTCCTATTAACTATTTCAAATTAAGTGAAGCTGTTATAAGTTGAGTCTTGCATATAAAACCATCTGAGGAAGGATTATCATATGGTTTCCTTTCTAGAAAGAAAATCAGAAAATGGCCTTTAGTATTAGCTGCCTTGCTGCTGCTAAAAAATAAATAAATAAATAAATAGAAGGAAAAGACCCACCATCATGGCAGAAATGTTAGCCACAGAACTATCTTTTCTCTGTGCCATTTTCAAAATGCCTTTCCTGTTATAGCCATCTTTTGACTCTTTATTGTAACCTGGCAACTTACTTTGTAGATTTCTGGGTCCTTTCCCTCTTCTCCTTTCTCCCCACTTCCAATTGACTTTTGTCCTTGATTTTCCCGCCAGTTTTTAGTTCTTTTAGGATATGAGCATAAAAAATAAAATAGGAAAATCAAATTGATCCTTTTTTCCTTGGATGCAGAATGTGGTCAAGATGGGGATAATAGCCATTGACTAAAATGAGCTTTGGCCAGCCACAGTGCCTTGTATTGTTCTTGTCTATCTGTACATCCCTGCTTCTCCACTGAGACTATTAATCCTTAATGGTAAGAGCCACGTGTTTCCATTTCTTTTTCCCAGTAAAAAGTTCAGTGTTTGATATAGAGAAGAAACTATTTGTTGAATGCAGTGAATGAGTGAAAGAAATGACAGAAATGGCAGCACATATTGTTACCTCACTCTCTCCCAGTAATTACTCAAGGAGCTACTTCCCATGTAACTATTCAAGAAGGTTCAGAAGTGGTAGTTTTTAACACATACGTAAATTCTTGGGCACTTGTATAAACCATTATTCTCTCTCTCTCTCTCTCTCTCTCTCTCTCTCTCTCTCTCTCTCTCTCTTTTACAAAACTCTATCAACTGTCAAGCAAGGAATATAGGAAGCAACATTCTATAGATACCACCCTGTTTGGTTTGGTTTGGTTTTTAGGTTAGGGGGTCAAGAATGGAATGCTATAGTTTTGTGTGTGTTTTTCCACCCAAGGATAATCTAATGCAAAGATAGTCAAATAACAACTCCTGCCCGGAAGATAAATAGAGTGTGAACTGGATTAGGGAAATGGGAGTGTCCATGCAGCTGTGTCAGGGAGGGGTCTGGTGTTCATTACAACATCAAATGGAATATCTATGTTTCTGCTGGGTTTAATGACACCAACGACAGCCCACTCTTAGTTGAGCAATATTGGAGATTTTTGGCTTTTAACTTGATGTATTTTAATTTGTGCTTACTAGCTCTCCCACATCCGGTACTCGCTGGCATTTTAGTTAGTTAAGTGTTCCTCTGTGTTAGCCACAGAGGTGAAAAAAATATATATATAAAGAGAATCAATAAGACCAAGGCAGTTTAGGAAGAGCAAATTAACCTCCATCAAGAGCACTGGCCATCTCATCAAGCACCTGGTCTAAGAGGAAGCAGGTCCACCCTGGCCTCTCTGTGCTTCTTTAATGTATAAATGGTTCCCCTCTGAATGGTGATTAACTTGCTGTGGTGTTTCTTAGTTTTCAGGACTTTATCTCCTGTCCTTCTTCACCATCCTCATCGGGTTGGTGCTCTACTCCTCCACCTCCACCTACATAGCCCAGGACCCCCGGGTGTACAAGCAGTTCCGCAATCCTTCGGGACCTGTCGTGGACTTACCGGCCACAGCTCAGGTGGAGCCTTCGGTCACCTACACCAGCCTGGGCCAGGAGACCGAAGAGGAGCCCCACGTCCGTGTGGCCTAGGATGAGGCCCTCCCCCACCCACTGAGCACAACTCAGTGGCCACGTGTTCGCCCATCATCTCTGTATTGTACATAGAGAAAGGTATTTATTAGGTGCAGTTTACATGGGTGGACTGCAAGGTAGCAAATCCAAAAGCCTGTAAGAGGCACAAGCTAAACATCACTGGAGACAGGCTTTGACCCACCTGACTTGGAGAGATGCCCCGCTTGTGTGTATCCTGATCACAGCGCCCCTGCATTCATTACTGTGAACATTTTCTGATCAGAAGCAACTGTTATTATTATCACTTGGATTATTATTGTTGCTCTTATGACACCTAGTTTCAGGAGGCTGTTTTGTACTCTTGAGGGGAACTATTGCCAGACCACCCACGTGTAGTTTACATAAATCCCACTTTTCTATAGCAAGTCACTTTCTAAGAATCATACTTTATTTTTTGTGCACAGTCTGTGAGTGCCGCCGGCCGCAGGAGCCCCACCCTGAGAAGCTTCCCTGTCCTGGGCACCTGGGGCTCATGGTTTCCTCTATGACCTTGGATTGTCTGCTCAATAAGCATTTCTTGCTGTGACCCTTGTGGGGAGGGGCAACTGACCATATACTTCTCTATTCCAGGAATAGATATAAACAAACATGTTAGCCTTTGTATATTTTGACCTCTGATTACTCCCGGCCATTGTCTTTCTGTTGTGCCACCTTAGATAATGCCAATCAAGTCTCTGAAATAACGGAAGAAGGAATGTTCCATTTCTGTGGCTGATGGGAAACCCCGGGAGTAATATAAATGTATGTTTAGGGGAATATATATTTTTTTTTAAATCCTGCTGCCTCTTCCTATATCCTCTCTTCAAAAAATAGATTTGCTTTTCTTTTTTCCCCTAGATTATCTTTAGTGATATGGAAATTAATCAAAATGTTGGCAAAAGCCCTGGCCCCCTGTCCTTTTAATGTGTGACATCCCTTCTGAAACGAACAGGCATGCAGTTACCTTTATTGTGGCCTCCAGACAAAGTCAAGGTGCTGATATGGAGCAGTCTCTGACAAAGCTCGACTGATCTGGCCACTTTGTGGTGGTAAAGATGTCACCCATGAGAAAGTCTGGCATGTTGGTCATATTTGGCATCCAGTCATTAACGGAATATATCAACATAACATTCTTATGGAGACAGAGAATATTATAAGGTCCTGATAAGACTCTGAGGGATATGTCACTACTCTAATTCTGTTAAAAGGGCCCTTATTTCCAAACACAGAAAATAAGAAACACCGCACATCTCTATGATTTAGAAATAGATTCTATGTGTCAGTATGGGAAATGGTCTTTACGTCTGGCTGGCTTCACTAGCATTCAAAAAGATCCTCGATCAAGTTACAGGGCTTGTAAAGGAAAAGTAAATGCTTATAAAACTTTGGACAATTAAAATCAATGAATCTTAAGCAAGTAAAGCAAAAACACCAGAGGGGTCTGTATAGCAGAAGGACAGATTGCAGCTTAGTCGGGATTCCTATATAGCCTGAGCAAGACCTCCTTGTGAAGGCAAAAGCACCCCATGCTGTCAGTCAGCACCCACGTGGCCCCTCTGCCTGCCTTCTACTCTGGGCGTGGGTAGTCCAGCCCTTGCAAACGGAGAAGAAAAAGTACCTTTTCTGATATGCAGATCTTATGCTCATCTGTGTTCCGCCCCTTTAGAAACATGTTTTATTTTCTCTGGGGGGGAAAAACAACAATGTGAAAGCTATGTCAAGTCGAACAGCTTTGCCAATGTCTGCTTTCTGCTACCTTTAAAACCAGTTAAATACCTTTCTCTCAATATTTCATCCATTCAGATCTGAAGACCTTTAAAGACTGTGGTTTTATTTTTGTGTTTACATTCCTTTGGTTTGCATAATTTGCTTGATTTATTGCATTTTTATATTTATTTTAAGCCAAATGTTTTAGCCTTTTTTAATTCACTTTTTGTGACACTAATTTGTAGATGCTTAGTAAAATCTTAGGCGAAATAAGTGGCTGAAAGTTTTCCTAGTCGACTCAGTGGACTGGGAATGTTTTTCAAAATTTACATTTCACAAAGGTCGGCAATCAGCGGATGGCTGAAAGTTGCCATCTGAACTATTTTCTAGGACATTTCAATTGACTCCATTGTATGAAAACCAAGTGTGAATGTTAAGGTAAATTCACTGTATCCCCTTTATCATCCAGTGTCCTTATACACAAGACTTTCATGCCCCGGGGGAACCTCACGGTGTTGGTTTGTCTCCATTTAGAAAGCCTGATCACACTGAATTGTCTGAGATCTGGGAGTTCCCATCAACTCTTTGGAACAAAAAAAGATAGCAGGAAACACACATATTTTTTTTCTGTACAAAAACATCGATCCTTTGGGAGTGGGGTGGGAAATGGGTGTAGGACATTAACTCTAGCTGTTTTCATTTCTGAAATGTCATAACCTCAGTAGACACCAGCAACAAGTTCAGCTTTTCAATGCATCACCCCACCCTCCTCCACGAATGGGACTGGCAGTTTGTATAGAATTTGATTGGACAAGCAAACCACAGCTTTCCTGAACCCCACCTAGAGACGCGTGGAGGTTCTCACTGCCTCAATGGAAACTTGCACTGGGGACGGAGCTTGCCTTGGTCACGCCTTCTCACATCTTCAAACTCTGAAATTCACAACCGGTAGACCAAGCAATAGAAAACTTTGCACCACTGTGTCCCATGAAAACGTTTCTATGTTTAGTTTAGATATTGCTAACGTGTGCTATTAACCTTTTGAGAAGCGTGTAGTATTGTTTGTTTTGCGTTTGTTATGATTTATAACCACTTAGTAGTCCCCAGCTAGCTACCAGTACAGATTTTACCCCATGGGTAGGATTCTATTGTCAAGCCACATAACAAAGCACACTAACCCAGACACTGCAAATGGAAAATATGAACCAAAAAAAAAAAAAAAAAAAAGACAGAAAAAAAGAAATTTACACCTATAAGTTGAGCAAACTCTCCAATTTTGGTATTTGCATGCTCCCCTATGGACTGGCTGTGGCAATGTAATGCCTGTATAATGTTTTCAAATAAAAATAAATGCTTTCTGAAAGCTCGGAGCTCTTGGTTTTCTTGAGTGTTTGTCTGCACCATGACGACCCTGGAAGGAGCTCCCGTGGGAGGCCAGAAATAGCACGAAAGTCGATAGCAGGGAACATGTCAAAATAAAAACCAGAAAGAAAATATTTCCAAATTAGGAAGGGCACAGTTGTCCTCAGCGCTGTACTTTCAAAGAGCCAAATTGAACATGTTTGTGATCTGCAAAATTAATTACTTATCTGGATGCTTACGAAGGCTCTGGGGCTGCAGCCTCTAGGCCCACATTTAAAACGCTCATAGAACAATACAGTTTACCCCCAAGAAAAAGTTCCTCATCAACAGGAAAGTTGTGTGTGTGCTGCCCGTGGCACAGTGCCAGGTTGAAAGGGCGAGCGTTCTTCCAGGGCAGGACACTTGCACAGCAGGTCTGCTGGGGTTCCTGCTCAGAACTCACACGCTAGCATCCCCCTCCCGTGCCAAGTGAAGTTGCCCAGCAAACCCTTAAGTACTTGGAGGTGATTGCATATCAAGTTCATGTTCTTGCCCTTCTTGTTCACAGTAAGACTTCAAAAATTAGGTGAGCCCAAAAGACTGTGTGTCCACATTACATTTCTAAAATATTTTTAAAAGAAATGCATTCATTATTCAGGACAAAAGGAACAGCAGCACACAAATCCTTTATAAAGTGTTCTTAAGTTGAGATCCATCATGATCTGCTTTTATAAATAGTTAGAACAGTATGTACTTCATAGAAATAATTTTCTTGAAAACGTGACTCACGGGTTAAAGTTTTTCCTTGAAAAATGTAAATGTTTCTCTAAATTACTGCTTTTTGTTTTTGCAGTAAACTCTCGGATCAAAGACGAAATACAGTTGAACTTCCACTCAGTCTGTTGTCAAATGCCCAGCAATCCTAAACGATCGGGGTCCCAGTGGTACACATAATAAATGTGTAAGTCGTGTTTAGTCTGTTTCCCAGTGAATTATCGTTGTCTTAAGAGAAAGAACTGGGTTTCCTGAATGCTTGGAAGCTCTTGCAGAGGTAAGATAAGGCAGCACTGGAATGATTTGTGTGGCTATTACCATGAAAGAAAAGGAGAAACGAGTAAAATTCAGCAGGAGAGTTGTAATTTACTATGTTGCCTTGATGCTCCATAGGAAAGCAAACGGTAGTGTCTGAAATAACAGGAACTGGCATCAGATCCATCTTCAGCGCCTAGAAAAAGTACCGTGCACATGGAAGGTACTCATGCATCTTGTTTTTAATGTGCTCTAACTTCTGAGTCAGAAACACAACGTGGGAGGGTATTCTATTACAAAAGGGTCCCTTCTTCCTCCTCCTACTCTCAAGTACGTTTTCTGTACTTGGAAAGGAAGAAATCATTGGTTTCACTTCAGTGCACACTTGAATTTTTTTACAAACCCTTACTATGTTTGGCCATTCTGGTTGGCCTTGGGATATGAAAAAAAGTTATTCTTTTTACTTGTGAATTGTGTTTCTGATTTTATTAAATTGCTTCTTAATTATGTACGCGGATCTTCCTTTTTCCTTTCTGCCATTTTTCTTTGATTTTCTTTTCCTTTCTGTCTCTTTTCTTTCTGCAAGCATAGATAGAGGGCTCCCTAAGGGCCACCAAGACAGTGTCTCTGCCCTTGATTCTCCATGTGGACAAAAATGTTTAATTCAGAAAGATATAATACAGCTGGAAAGCCCACACCTACCAGATGGCCTTTCTTTTTTTTTAATATATTTTTTATTGATTAAGATATTACATATGTGTCCTTGTCCCCCGTTACCCTCTACCCCCCCCCCACTCATGCCCTCACACCCCCGTTGTCCGTGTCCATTGATTAGGCCTATATGCTTGCATATAAGCCCTTTGGTTGATCTTTCCCCCTTACCCCCACCCTCCCCTACCTTCCCTCCAAGGCCCGACAGTCCAATCAATGCCTCTCCGTCTCTGGATCAGTCCTTGTTCATCAGTTTATGTTGTTCATTATGTTCCACAAATGAGTGAAATCATGTGGTATTTATCCGCTCTCCAGTTCCATCCATGCTGTGGCAAATGGTAAGAGTTCCTTTTTCTTCTTCCTCTTCTTAAAGAATACCTTTCAGCATTTCATATAATGCTGGTTTGGTGGTGATGAACTCCTTTAGCTTTTTCTTATCCATGAAGCTCTTTATCTGACCTTCTATTCTGAATGATAGCTTTGCTGGATAAAGTAATCTTGGTTGCAGGTTCTTGCTATTCATCACTTTGAATATTTCTTGCCACTCTCTTCTGGCCTGCATGGTTTCTGTTGAGAAATCAGCTGACAGTCGTATGGGTACTCCCTTGTAGGTAACTGACTTTCTTTCTCTTGCTGCTTTTAAGATTCTCTCTTTATCTTTTGCTCTTGGCATTTTAATTATGATGTGTCTTGGTGTGGTCCTCTTTGGATTCCTTTTGTTTGGGGTTCTCTGCGCTTCCTGGACTTGTAAGTCCATTTCTTTCACCAGGTAGGGGAAGTTTTCTGTCATTATTTCTTCAAAAAGGTTTTCAATATCTTGCCCTCTCTCTCCTTCTGGTACCCCTATAATTCTGATGTTGGTACGCTTGAAGTTGTCCCAGAGGTTCCTTACACTATCTTCATAGTTTTGGAATCTCTTTTCTTTTTCGGTTGGGTATTTTTTGTTTCTTTGTATTTCAAATCTTTGACTTGATTCTTGGGATCCTCTTGTCTGCTGTTGGATCTCTGTAAATTATTCTTTATTTCAGTCAGTGTATGCTTAATTTCTAGTTGGTCCTTTTTCATATCCTCGAGAATCTCACTAGATTTCTTGAGGGTCTCACTAAATTTATTGGCGGTTTCCATAAAATTCTTGAAAAACCTTATAAACGTGGCCTTGAACTCTATATCCAGTCGTTTGCTTTCCTCCATTTCTGCCATTTGTGACCTGTTTCTCTGTCTCCGCATTTTGGCTGCTTCCCTGTTTTGATAGAGTGTCCCTGCGCGCCAGGTGTCCTGTAGGGCCCAATGGCTCAGCCTCCCCAGTTACCTGGGGTGGACACTCTTAGTGCACTCTTGGTGCCTTGGTTGTTGTAGAATCACTGGGAGGAATTGACCTCCAGGCCAATTGGCTGTGAGAATCAGCTGTGTCTGAAGTGGGAGAACTTCTGTGCTGAAGACACCCTTCTGGGGCAAGACTTGCTTCAGCGGGGCTTTGGTGCTCATTGAGTCTGCTCCCTGAGTGTGACCCTTATGGATCTGAGGAGTTGCAATCTGGATGGTCCCCCTCTGACCACTGGGTACAGTGAGTGGCTCCTGGATCTAAGGAGGTGCTAATTCAGCCTCTGCCTGAGGCCACACAGCAGGAGCCACAAAGAGGCTCAGCTGTGAAGCAATGCAAGCCGCTGCGGGGCCTTGGGCCTTCTCTTGGAAGTTCCGGGTCTGCCTGGCTCAGCTGCAGTTAGGTACATTGACATGCAAAAGCCTCTGCCGCAGCCTGGGTGGGGCGGGGTCTCAGGGAGTCAAAGGGCGGAGAAAGCAGCTATGGCTGATTCTCTGCCCGGAGTCGCGCATCTCAGTGTCCCGGTAACGGCTGCAAGCACCTCTGAGGGAAAGCCGCCCTCAAGTTCGCCCGCTGCCCGACAGACCAGCTTCTCCCCGTATGAGTCCTGGGTCCCCAGAGACTTCCCGGAACCGGAGTTCAGAGCAGTCGGGAGTTTGTGATTCAAAAAGACAGCCGCGTCCTCAGGTGCCACCCCCTTTCCGCGCGCGCACGAGCCGCCGTACCTCTGCACTTCACCTCCGCAGCTCCTCTGGCTCTCAGCGTGCTTTTCTTTCCTTCTAGTTGTAGAATTTACACTCAGCCAGCCTTCCTGTTGTTCTGGATGATGTCTGCTCTGTCCTTTGCGGTATTTTTCAATTGTTGTGGGAGGCGGCAATTTCCTGGTGTTTATCTATGCCGCCATCTTAGTTTCTCCCCAGATGGCCTTTCATTAGTGCCTGACAGGCCATTGTGCACTACTTTTCAGACAGTGGACAAGTTGCCTCCAAACACTACTGAAGCCTGATTAACAAGGAGAACTAATGATCAGAGAGAGGAGATCTCTGGGAATAGACAAAAATTGGGGGCTTTCATCTGGATAGACAAAGGCTTGGTGTGAATAAGACTAAACCTATAAAAGCACGAAAATGAGTTTGTTCACCGGGTCCAGAATTAGAGCTGGGAGTTATCCCATAATGCTTGGAGGATAATTTCAGGATAGATAAATAATATTTTACACAATGGGGAGTGTTCTTCCTGAACTTATTACTGCATTTTAGCACTGACTAAAAATGTGTTAGGTCACCTAATAGGTGGGAGAGCTACAGTGGAACATTAGGTGAGCTGTGTAATCCTTATCTAATCTCTTAACACTTTTAGATTGAAAGCAGGCATTGCTAATAATTATGTCTGGACAACAGGTAGAAACCCAGGCTATCACAGGCGAAGCTGGAAGTGTGGTCACCCTGCCTTTAAAAGATACTCCTGCACCTCCCCTCACCATGGGAAATTGGTAGCACAATGGAAGCCATGTCTTCCTGCCACTAGATGTCGCTGTCTGAGGTAAAACATCTGGGTCAAGAGGACCATCTATAAGCTGTTGTTACTGGATTCTTATTCGTGGAGGGCAGGCCCCACCTGAATTCCCATCTTACTGCTCAGACCTTCTCCTTGGAAACATCTGTAGCCAGCAGTGGTAGAAAAGTGAGCAGACTTCCAATGGTAAAATCTTGAATATCTTCACCATTGTTTCATTGCTAAATGTGTAAAAAAGTAAGAGCAACAGAGAAATGTGTGGCTAAAATAAAGGAGGCATTACTGGTTGAATTATTCAGAAGTAAATTACATGAGAATGACTTCAA